AATAAGATATTTGAATTCTTTTATGGCGGTTAACAAAAATCAAGTGTCCACATATGGACAACACCCAACAATAGGGCTTGATTTATCCAATAAGAATTATAGAAAGTAGGTGTCCACGGTGAAATAGATATACCCAACAGCAGGGTTATATCTTGTCAGAATTCTGGAGATGATGACAATTACTGACGGTGATCGTTGGTGATGATGGAGGTTGTCGGTGGTGATCACTGGTGGTGATCATCAGTTGTGATAGCTAACAAATACAAGAGAGCTCTCTAGTATTCTCATTTCTTCCTCTCTTTCATATGGAGAATGAATTATAGGCTTTTGGAGATACGGTATTTTGTAATTTGAACCAAAATTCAAAATAGTATATCACATGGTCCATATTGATTTCCTTAATCATGAACTATGTTTTCAACATTTAAGTACCTTAATAATGTCGCAATTGAGTGATCTTGGACTCGCTAGATTTATCTCGTCGAGCCGCTCAATTCAACTATAAGTATGTCAATTTTGGATGTTAGATGATCATTATTTTAATTTTAATAGTATCAAATTCAAAAATTACCTCGAGCTTCATACAAATCATATGATTTTTCAAGAGTCATATCACTCCTGATCACACATATACATTTAGCTTTTGGCAGAAGAACGTATAAGTTAAATAAGCCTAAGCTCGATTTTTCGATTTCTATAAACAATTATTCTATCTCCTTTTAAATAAAATCAAAACATTCATACCAACTAATAGATTCTTTAACATATATTTAAATTTTTTTCAATGAGTTCTCTTTCACTTAATTAAATTATCATGATTTTGCGAACTCTATCCAAATAATTAGTCTATATCCATTTATTTGAAGAATGCTACATATTCACTATTGAAATATCCTTCGATTAATAATTAGTTATAGGCTCGTAGTATGGTCCGATTCGAATCATCCTACGAGTCTATCAATGTCTAGTGATGCACGCATATTGATACATATGCCGTGATATTTTGAAACTTATAGATGCTGACCCTTTCATTTTTATAAACTATCTTGAACTGTTGATGTTCACCACTCAACCCTAAGCTCAAAACAATCCAACTTAAAAAACCCTATCGGCATCCAATTTGCTTATGCGTCACAACAAAGAGAAAAAGACTCCCAAATATATTTATAACTTATCTTTTTTTTTTAATACATTAATATATGCAATTTTTTTTTTCATATTTAAATAAAATAGAAAAAGCGGCTTCGAACGCCAGCTCATGATAGGCAAGCAAATAAAAGCAGCTTGTTCATATGCACGATTGACAAGGATTCCCTCATTGGTCCCTTCTTTCCCTTACTTTTGTCTGGTGACATAGATATATTATTCTCTGCAGGACCACCACAACAAGACTAATATGACTCCACCCAATTATCAACAGAGGTTGGTGATAAGACAATCGATTATCTGAGTTTAATAACTTATCTTAATAAAACTATGATAAAACCCTAAATCAAGATGATCTCACCTCAATTGGCACTGTGCAATCTATATAGTTTGATTATTGTTAAAAAATATTAATTTTGTGAGTAATTAAATGCTTTCTAATCAAGGCTTCGTCTGAGACGGCTTTCTTCCTGCTTCTTAAAGCGTCTTTCTAGTACAAAAATTAAAAAAATTTGTACTAGAAAGCCACTTTAAGAAGCAGTAAGAATGTCGTCCCAAAAGAATGGTAAATCTTTTTAGGTCTAGCTCTATCTTTATACATCCACTCTCCTAATCAGATTATTGAAAAACTAATTAACATTTTTTGTGACTGAATTATTTAAGCCGATTCTCTCTAATCTAGCTTATTTGTCACTTGAGCTAGTCCAATCTTTTCATGTATGTACTCATTGGGCGTGACTTTATATATTGAGCAAAATTTATAAAAGATTTTTTAAATATGTTTTGTTGGAAAAGAAATTATTCATTCAATTTTCGTGTTGAAATATATAAAATTTTAATGCATTTTATCTGCTAAGATTAGCTGTATTGGAGTTTTTTTTTTTTTGTTTTAAAGGCAAAAACTTAGGTAAGAAGGAATGTTATAAATTTTTTAATTTATTTTGAGATAAATATAATATTATTTATTTATGTGTTGCATTAAAAAGTAAATATAAAAATTTTAAATTTTAATTAGTTATAAATTTAATTCTCTTTAAAACATAAAGACATGCCACCATAAAGACATAAAAATAAAGCTCAGTGATTTGATAGAGGGGAGAAGAGGATCCCAAAAGGCAGCGGAAGCTTTTACAAAGCAATACTCATAATTACAATCCAAAATTTTCCTCCTCTATGGTAGGGCTGCAAGAGAATAAAGCATTCGACGAGATGCTCGGTTCAATTAAAGCTCGTTTGTGATTGTTTAACTAATTAAATAAACAAATTTGAACAATATTTTAAATACTCGATCCTTAAATAAACAAGCTTGAACACTAATATGTTCGGTTTATTTATGTTCGTGAACAACATCATTTGAAGTTTGTGAACAAGTTCGACAATAAGCTTGATAAGAAGCTCGATAAAAGCTCGATTCGTGTTCGATTTTGAACTCGTGAATAAGCTCGACAAAAATAATTAATATTTGATTATATAATTAATAAATAAAAATATTTTATATTTATTATAATATAATGATATAATTATTGTTAAATAATAAAATTTAAAGTAAATAACATTATATTATATGTTAATTAAGTATTTTTTATTAAATTTAAGTGAATGATAGCAATGTCAAAATAAAGAGGCGGCCCGAGCTGCAAACTCATAATTTATTTCTTTGTTGTTGGCTCGTTATCTTATCTTCCTGAGGACTCGAGCCCTAATTTTTCTTCTCAAACGCGCGGGCTAAAGAAGGCGGAAGGGCGAACTTACAATCTCGAAACGTCTTCGCCGCTCTTTCTCCCCACAAACCCCGACTCCTGCTTCGTCGAACTAGGTTTTCTTTCCTCCCTATTTTCTCGTCAAGGCACTCTAACGAATCTTCTCGTTTCTCCGCTCATCCTTCTCCCAGACAACGCTAAAGCTCGTGTTGACGGTAAGTTTTGGCTTCAAATATTACTTCCATTTGTTCATAGATACATGAACGTGTTTGTTTGATAGTTAAAAAAAATTCGTTAAATATGTTCGCGAACATGCTCGATATAATAATTTGTTAGGAAGCTCGATAAAGCTCTTTTGTTAAGTTAATGAACATCTAAAAGTGGAGCTCGTTTATAGCTCGTTCATGTTTGTTTGTTTAAAGCTCGATAAATACTAAATGAACGAACATGAACTAAACATGAACCGAGCATGAATACTCATTAATTTAAATGAACAAAACATGAACACAAACAATAAAGCTCGAACAAACATGAACCAAACTTGAATAACCTGATATTAAATGAACACAAACATGAACACTCACATACTCGGCTCGGCTCGGTTTGTTTGCAGCCCTACTCTATGGGGGCCATTTTTATGTTGTGTTATTATTTTTATTTTTGTGTTTGTTTTATTTGTTTGATGTATTTTTATTATTAGTTAAATAAATCAATTAATTTTTTAATAAATTCAATTAAATTTTAGTTATTTTAATTGTTATAAAAATAATTATCACTATTTTATATTATATTTAAATTAAAATATAAATAAAATAAAATAAGAAGCAGAAAACAAAAATAAATAACAAAATATTAAAGAGATCTCAAATAAACAATAGCATTTGCCAATGTAGGTTTAGGTTTCATTCGGAACACCTTTCTTACTGTTTTTTAGAATAGTTTTCTAGTACAAAAGGAGCCCTATTCACAGCTACTTAATTATCAAGCCAAGTTCTAGCTGAGTTAACTCAAATTTCATTTGAGACGACTTTTTTATTGCTTCTTAAAATAATTTTTTAGTTTAAAAATTAATATTTTTATAGTAAACATTATTTTAAAAAATATTAAAAAATGATCACAAACAAACCTCAATTACACCTTTGTCAACTTATCACTTAGCACTATAGAGGGGATAAAAGAGGAGAAATAATGGTTCTAAGTGACTCATTGATTGAAACTCCTCACTTCTAAGCTAGAAATGATTTGTTTGATATCCTCTCTCTAACGAAAGAGGTGGTTCTTCTAATTGTTGCAGCAGGTCCCAAGCAATTTGACCTTTCAATGGTGGATAAATTCTTCTTTTGCCACCATTCTGGTAATTCTAAGAACCAAAAAAATTAATGAACTAAAATTTTTTTAGTTCCCTTTCAATTATTCTTATTGATTCCCATCATAAAATGAAAAAAAAAACCTTAATATTAATTATTTAAATTAAATATAATTTTCTACACATCGACTTTAAGTGAAATTTAAGGTTTATTTGATATAACTTATTGCTTTATTAAAAACATTTTATATGAAAATTTATAATTAAAAATAAAAAACAACTACCCCAAATAAAACATTAAGTGTCAAAATGATATAAATATAAAAATTTAAAAATATAAATATAACCTTTATTAATTAGCCCCTAAAGACTAAGGCTTTATTTGAGAAAACTTTCTTATTATTTTCTAAAATAACCTTTTAATTCATTGAATAATAATAATAATAAAATACCTTTTAATATAAAAATTAAAATTTTAAAAATAAAAAAATCATCCCAAAGGGATTCATAAACAACTTTCTTATTACTTTTTAAAATAATTTTTTAATACAAAAATTTATAATAAAAAAACTTTTTATACGAAAAATTTATTTAAAAAAACAAATAAAATATCCCAATCAAAATCTAAGACTTTGAAACAATTTTCTTCTACTTTTCTTGTTAGATCACATAATACCTTTTGCTTTTTCAATGCCGTCAAAAACTTTTTTATGCTAGAAATTTACTTTCTAGCAAAACCTTAAAATTAATTTCTTCACAACAATTTTATAACCATTTTAATAAAAAAAATTATAGCCATGTAACATGACAACCTACTATACATTAAACCAGACAAAATGACTTGCAGTAACATATTCAATTTAAGTTTTTCATGTTCACCTTATATCAAACTTTACACAAAAAAAAAAAAAAAAACCATTACCATTTGCACATCAATAACAGGAACTTAACACTTGTATCTTTACATTAATAACAATCTCCCCACCCATTATTACATAAAAGAACCACCTTATAGAATCACTGGAACCCCAAACAAAGATTGAGGAAACACTGAGAACTCGCTCCTGTTGTCATCTGAACCACCAGGAGTTTCAGGGATTTGTTCACATTCAGAGCTCGAACAAATGGTAGCCATGGCTTCCATGGTATCGGCTCCGGATCGTCGAAGCAGATTGCCGCAGAAGAGGCTGGAACTCGAGCATATTCGGTTGACGTCGTATCTGCTAATGTCGAAGTTTGTCACCGCACCCGTGCCGCGAAATTTGATGGCGGCGATGTCGTATGCTTCTGCAGCTTCCTCTTGAGTGCCTGATTGACCAATTGAGAAACTACTTTAGCTTTCGCTTGCAATTCACATAATTGGTCTCAAAGCAATTTTAATAGAAAATATGGATATTACTAAATACTAACACATGATAAATAACAAAATGAATAATGTTTTAGAGTATAAAGACAATTGAAGATGAAAAATTTAAGCTTTATTTGGGATAGCTTTTGATCACTATTTTTTAGTTTAAGGCTTCAAAATTTTTTTAACTAGAAAGCAATAAGAAAATTATCCCAAATAAAATCTTACTAGAAAAATACTTTAGAAATCAATAAGAACATCATCTCAAACGAAGTCTTAGGCTTTATTTGAGACAATTTTCTTACTGCTTTTTAACGCAGTTTTCTAGTAAAAAATTTTATTTTTTTACTAAAAAATTGTTTTGATAATAAGCAGTAAAAAAGCTGTCTCAAACGAATCCTTAAGCTTCATTTGGGATAACTTTTGATCACTATTTTTTCTCGATAAAGACTTTAAAAAATTTTTGATATTAAATATTATTTTAGAAAGCAAGTCCACTAATCTGCATAATTAACACTAATAAGCAAGTCCACTAAAAAATCTCCCAACACAATGCTATCAAAAGAGAGTAATAGACCTGGAAGCAACCATCACTAGTAAAATGTGAATTTCTAACCACTTCTTAAACTAATTTTTTAGTACAAATTTTTTAATTTTTATACTAAAAGGTTGATTTAAGAAGCAATAAGAAAACCGTCCCAAACAAAACCTAAATATCATCTATTAGAGGTCACATTTTTCCCATGACTAAGAAGATTTTTTATTAAATTTAGTGACACTTCTTTAAATTTAGTCACTAAAAGTACCTTTCAGTCATACTCTTCATTATTAGCAAGTGGACACAATATCTTAAATTTATGGATTATTACTTAGGTGACTAAAAAAATTATAATATTTACCCACAAATTTGTAAAAATAGGACTAGAAGTTACATGCATTTTGTGAACAAACATGTAAAAATAAAATTTTTTCGTGACTAAGATTTCATTTGTGATGACTTTCTTATTGCTTCTTAAAACAACTTTCTAGTATAAAAATGAAAATTTTTGTACTAAAAAACTATTTTAAGAAGCAGGAAAAAAAAACGTCCCAAACAAAACCTAAAAATTTAACACTTGTCAACATTTTTCAAGCAATTTATGATTAATATTTTCACAGAAGGGACATGTTTGTAATAAATATAGAGTTAGAGCTATTCATAGTAACTATATAGTTAGTGCTGATAGCTTGAAGAAACTTACTGAATGTTCCAAGGTACAAGTCCTTGTTGCCAGCAACCCTCCCTATCCTTGCTTGCCATCTTCCATGCTGGTGATGCCTAAGAGTAATTATGCAAAAGTGTTTCAAAAAAAATAACATAAAATCAAAATCTGATAATTTGAACTTTTATTTAGGGACCAACATAAGTGAAAATAAAATTATTATTTTCCAAAAGACAATTAATTTCTACTTATATTATAAGCAACCAAATGGGCCCTTAAAAGTAGATAAATTTTTCTCAGGGAACCTTGTCACTCCTCTGTAGATAGAAGCACCCCTGGAAAACCCACTGCTTGTCCTGCAATCAAAATAAAAGAAATCATTTGCTGTAAAACACACATAAATGCAATCAAATGCAGATCAAACTTCCAATAGACAACAATAATGTAATAACTTCCATCCTTTGCATGTCTCTACAAATGTACAGTATCCATTCATAATTGCATGTCAAAACTGATGAGGACATCGCTCAGAGATTCCGACATGTGTACCGGCGAAAAATTTGTAGATCGACGGCTACGATTCAGAGTCTTTACTTTTGATGTGTTTTATTTATTTTATTTTCAGTTTTTCCAAGTTTACCCTTGTGGGGAGTGTTCTTATTGTAGTTGTAAGGGCATTTGTGTACTTTTCTTTTATTTATGTTGGAGGCCTATATATATAGTGGCCTTATGCTTTGTAAAAGGATGATGAATGATTATTGAAACAAAATTTCAACTCTTTTGTTTTAGATCTCTTTTTGAGTTCTTGAGAGGAGAGACGCTCGTCTACCTTTGGTGGATTCCAAGGTTCGCGGCTCTAGTTCTTTTATCTCTTAACCCTTCCAACTCTCCCCTCTTCCCCTACCACCACAGGCTTACTACCCCACCACCACCCTTCATTTTCCATTACTAGCCACCACCTCAAAACCACTGGCCTCTGCACATCTCTCTCTCTTCCCTACCACCCGGACCCGACCCCCCAATTGGTTCCACCACAAATCTCACGCCCAAACCCCAAGCCCACCACCGGCCACCTGTTTTCCACCCCATGAATGAGAGGAGTCAATGCCTCATTATTACTTACCTAAAGAGCTTAAATGATTTGGGATATTATTCTTAACCATTTGAAATTCAAATTTTGAATTTTCAAATAGTTTCATAAATTAGAAAGCCATATTAGGAAAGTCATGAATCTAATTCAATTTATTTTTAAATTAGATTGGATTGATTTATTCTCTTCATAAATTAGAAAGACCAATTATGAAGCTATTCTAATTACTCCCATAAATCCCTCTCCCCCCATCATGCAGCAGGCCCCTTTAATGGGCTTTTAAATTGTTTTTTTTCTATTTACACCCAAGACCTATTTGAATTTCGAATTTAATTTCAAATTCAATTTCCCTCCAATTCCACTTAAAACCTGAAATTAATTCCCACCTAATTAAATTCCCCTAACCCTAATCCCAACCCCATCCCTCTCCCTCAAGCCGCCAGCCTACCCATCACCAACCCGCCGCCCTTCTTCTCCCTCAATCCCTACTTACTTCTTCTCCCCCCCTCCTTCCCTACTTGTCTACTCCTACCATCTCAAGCAAGCATGCCTGGCCGATCTGAGATCAACCACGGGTTCGCCTACGACGATCAAGGAGAAGTTGATATTTTATTATCTCCTTTCTTTGATCCAATTTGGGAGTACGACAACTCAGTAGAAAGTTACATTGCTCGCATACTCTTCCAACTCACCGAGACGATTGATGAACAAAGACCAAAGGGACATTGGTTCATCATCTCCTTCTCCGGCTACTTCTCCAGCGGATAGGCCTTATGCATCACTTGTCTTGTGGTAACATCACTTGGTTTGCTTCTATCCTTTCTCCGCTAAACCCACTACAAGTAAGAGAGAAGGAAGTCAAGGTGAAAATGTCTTGATTTTGCACCATGGATTATTGTTTCATCGCCATTAGTTTATCTACTTACTTTTGCTAATCGGTTGCAAGGACTTCGTTAATCTCCGTTGTAATCGTTTACTTTTACTTAATCTTGTAACGACAAATTCCAAAATCATTACTTGGTGAAGCATAAGTTTTCCACTAGTAAGGTAAAGTTCAAATTGTTATTAATTTTCAAATCAATTCTTGTGCATGTGTATGTTTCACATAAAAAACACACTATAACACATAAGCTATGTTCATACTTCTTTACACAATGTGACTAAATATCACATTAATAGACTTTACAAAACAAGTGTGGTCATATATTTTTAATCATGTTTTTCAAAGTGCATTGATGGTATGACCAAAAAAATTAAGGTCTATCTACATGACACTCAAAACTATCATATTTATATATATTTGACGCTTAAAATTTACTATTTATTCAAATACCACTTAATTTTTTAACATAAAAAATTACCTTCTAAACTTCGTATCGATGCCCTTCCCTCCCAACAAGATCATGTTGCAACTTGAGTGCAAACGTTGTCATTTATGACGATGATCTCTCTGAGGAGATTTCATCGTGACTTGCTCTTCTTCTTCATCGTCAAGTGTTTCAAGACTGCACAAGTCCCTAGTCCAATCAATGTCCTTCCTCCAAAGAGATCTTGTCACGAATTCCTCTCTACACACACCACTACCCCATCAATGGCCTTTGTAATGAGATCCCATTGTAACTTTCTTACCCACTTTTTTCGCAAGCGAGAGATAACATTCATACATCATCAAAGGGAAAATAAAATTGGAAACTTTCAAAATTAAAATTGGGACCATCCGAAATTTGATTTCATCAAACTTATAGTTAAGCTGAACATCTCAGAAATATGAACCCAACGACACCAAATCCAACTCCATCTGAGCCCAAATGGGTCCAAATGGAGGACCTGAAGCACTGTTGGAAGGTTTGAACCACAATTTGGATTACCAAACGGTTTCTAAACATGACATACTTATATTCAAATTTAGCAGCTCGACGAGACGAATACAACGAGCCTAAGATCACCGAATTCCGACATCATTAAGACATTTAAATGTCCATCAAACGGTACATGATCAAGGGATTCAATATCGGCCGTCCATCCAAACCACTCCCCATTTGCCCTTGATCCTCCTATTTACGGGCTATGCAACTCTAGGAAATCTATAAATAGACCCCTACTCCCTCTTGAAAAGGGACCCCCCCCCCCCCCAGCCAAAGGACTTAAGAGAGAGATTGAAGATCGCTCTTGCCTCCTTGCTCCTCCTTGACCACCGCCTGAGTTCCACTAACCACCGCCAGACGGCGTTGTTCTGTCGAACCACCACTTGAGGCCCTGAGCTCCGCTAGACCACCACTTGAGGCCCAGAGTAAACCTAGAGTTCTGCCAGACCATCACTTGACGCCCGAATTTTCATGTAGCACCAGACTTCTGCCAGTTCACCAAGTGACACTGTACTTTCATCCCCGTTTGTCACTAGATTTCAACCAAATGGTTGACATTTGTAATCTGATCACCCTCAGGGACGAGTCAACCCATTGTAATCTACCCAAACACTAGTTGAATCATTTCAGACTGGGTCAGGCCCCGTGTTTTTTCCCCTTTCCAGGATTTTCCATGTAAAAACATCTTGTGTTATTTGTGTATGAGCTGGATATTCGTACAATGCTAAGCGCAAAAATTTAACTCTATTGTCACGTATATTCTAGCCCGCAACAAGCATCAACAGTGATATAATAGATAAATAATAAGTTTTAGCAATTAAATATGTAAATAAGATAATTTTGAGTGTTATGTATATGTAAATCCCCCAAATAAAAATTTATTGTCCTGGCAACACATTTCTAATACAAATAACTCGTGATTTCTCATTTTGCCTCAATCCACACACCTACATACATATGCTTAGCATTCTCTATATAATAAAAGAAAACTTTGCTTGATGTAGCTTGTGGCCTTCTCTAAACTAAATATTCACTAAGTCACCATGAAATTTTTCTGTAACTAACCTTATGCCCAACGTTTAGTTATAAAATATCTAATTGTTATTCTTAAAATAAAATCATGAACAAATAGAACCATGCATGCATGTCTATTAGATCTAAGAATTTTTATGATCCTGAAAGATTGCAACGATAACCGACAACTTCAAGCTCACTAGCAACTCCAAAAAGTGGGGATTGAGAAGGAGAATAAGAGAGCTAAATTGAGAAGTTTATTTCATTCATTCACACCCTCATACTCCCAAAGTATTTATAACATAATTGTTGACGGGCAAGAGGAAAGAACAGGGAAAGTGAAACAGAAAAGTTTATGTTGTTGACGGGCAAGAGGACCGACACTGCTCTGATACCATGTTGACGGGCAAGCGGGCAAGAGGAAAGAACCGAGAAAGTAAAACAGAGAAAAGTTTATCTCATTACTATTCATAACTTCTATATATAGGAGATCATATACAGAACCGAACAGGAAATAATAATTAACAGAATATAACATAATGCCACGTTTATAAGCCTAACTACTAACAATAATCACACTCTTAAGTAAATATTTTCTACCCATTAAGCACACTTGATACTCACTATAACACACTGACTCAATTAAACTACTCATTAAATTATTAGCTCATATAATGCATAACAAAAACACATCAAACTGAATTAAAAAATATATATATGGAAGCAATTATAACATAACATGACTCTTAAAAACACACTATCTACCCATTAAGCACACTTAATACCCACTATAACATAATGACCCAATTAAACAAATCAAGATAATTATTAACTCATAATGCCTAACAAAAACACATCGAACTGAATTTTTAAATAAATATTATATCACCTTCTTAAGTGGGCGACAAATTCTTGTCTCGTCATGTTCTTCATGTCTTCGAGCTCTCTTTCATAAGCACTCAACTATATGCACATAAAGAGGCCAAACGACAATTAAGTCTAGAGTCTAACTTGTAACTAAAAACTATTAAAATAATCAAAGGCTGGTAAATATAAAGTCTTAAATAGTAAAATAACTATACTGGGAAGTTTATCTGAGTTGTTGGACCCCAATACTTAAGCGCAGCTAGATCATATGCTCTTGCTGCCTTTTCCTCCTTATCATACCCACCTAAATTAAGCATAATCAAACAGTATTCACAGTTTTTAAATAAATTTAATATACATAATAAAATATATTAATAATGTATATAGATAGTAGGCTTACCCAAGTAAACTGGCCAGTTAATGCGTCAAAGGACAAATGAGATGACAAAAAAAGAAAAGAAGGTTAGTAAACTATTTTCATAAAAATATTAAAAAGCTTATTTGAACAACTAAGGCTTCGTTTAGGATGACTTTCTTTCTACTTCTTAAAGCTGCTTTCTAATAAAAAAAAGCTACTTTAGAAGGAGTAAGAAAGCCGTCCCAAACGAAGCCTAATACGAAAAAAAAGCAGCAGTTAAACTTCAAATCCTTCTATCCACCTTGCCTTCCCTTCCTTGTCTGCCCTTCTTTCCTGCAACTATTATCCCATAAATGGGCTTCATATCTTCCTGTCCACCTATGCCTACAATGCCAAAGCACAAACACAAAAGGAAGTGAAAAGAAACATTTGAATTTCACATAATTATAAAGATAGGAAAATTCAAACCAAACTCACCTAGTTACACCTCTATACTTAGAGGTTCTCTGTCCAACATTATCAATGGATTTACGAGCAACTGATTTCAAAACTACGGTGCCATGTTGGCCATCCTCGAAGTTATTGTCATGGTGAATCGAAAGGGCCACCTGAGTCTCCGGTGGTGGAGGTGGAGGATTCTGCCGGAGCCATGATTTGAGCTCTGATATAGAGGTTGAACCATCTAGACCAGTATTGTAAATTGGGTCAATGGAGTTAGAACTGGATATGAGGAATTCTGCCTTGATGTTCTGAGCTTGGTCAAACGATTGGAATTGGTGGTGAGGGTAAAAGATTGTTTCAACAGTGTTTTGACTATCTTCATTAATGGAGCTCTCTGAATATCCACCCAAGAAATTTTCCAGCTTTGGACCAACCATTCTTTGGTCGGAGTGACTCCTACATCTCCAATCTAATAAGAAAAAAAGACACTTAATTTGATGAATGAAATAATTTATGAAATGATGACAAGGATTGTATAATTTATGAAATCCTGGAATTCGACAACTCTAATGCTATAAGGATCAATGCCTGCTACACTCTTCATAAAAGATCGATGATCGATCTTAGGGCCTATTTAGTTGCTTGAAATTACAAAACACATTTTGAGAAATGGTGAAATTCAATGAATTAATAATTCGGTTGAATGTGTTTGGAAATCAACATTGAACAAATTAAGTGAAGCACAATCTTCACCTCTCAAAGTAATATTTTTTTTAATATAAAAACATCCAAATGAGCCCTACCTTGAATAACAATGCATGCACTTACATGCTCCTAGGGGTGTCAATATTTGACATGTCCTACACCCGACCCAAAAATTTCGGGTTCGAGTCAACCTGTTTGAAAAACGGGCCGGCTTCGATTTTCAAATCCTGACCCAATTGCAATTTTGGATCCGGTCAACCCAAAAACCTGAAATCAACCCCCACCTCCTCACTTGTTGTAGTAGCTGTCACCCAAAAGCGCTCGCCCGAGCTCACTAGTCCGAATGCGTAGACTCGCAAGTTTGCTTGCTTACCCTGTCGCACGCTCGTTGCGCTCACAATCACGCTTGCCCAGGTCAACAACTAGTGTCGAGTCGACTTGGACTCGAACCAAGTTGATTTCAGGCCTGGTTTTGAGACTCATTTCCCTAATTGGGTCAGGTTTGGGTCAAGACAGTTATTGGCGGGTCATTTTCGAGATGGATCCAAACCCAAACCAAAAACCCATTTTGTACCCCTAAATGCTCAAGAATCATGGCGAGTTTTCTCTTCAATGCTATATAAAATTTCTTAATGAGGTATTAAATTTCCAATACCGCTAGCAAATGCTATCAGAATTTAGTTTTCTACAAACTTACACATTGTTATTTGCAAATTGACTACAATGCACCGCTAGATAAATCATCTTATAAGCATGCTTTTTGACACGTGCACGAATCTTGAGCCATATTCATGAAAAACTGTTGAAATTAAAATAGGAATCATCCAAACTTTGATTTCGACAAGCTTATAGTCGAATTGAACATCTCAAAGAGACAAACCCAACAATACCAAAATCAATACAATATGAACCCAAGATTAAGGTCCAAAGCAAATTTGGAGGGTTCAAAACATTAATTGGATAACTAAATGATTGTCGAATATGCCATGCTTATGTTTGAATTGAGCGTCTCAATAAGATGAATCCAACGAGCTCAAGATCACCAAAATCTGACATCATTAAGGCACTTAAATGAACAATCAATAGTCTATGATCAGGGTAGTTGAAATTGGCTATTCTTCATAACACTCCCAACTTGACCTTGATCTTCTCCGTATTTACAATCCATACCACTCCCAAAAAACTATAAATATGCCCCCATTCTTCACATAGGAGGGGGGTGAAAGAAAGTGGGGAGAAAGAAAAGAGAGGAAGGGAGGAGGAGAAAGAGAAAATTTGGAGAGCTCTCTTGCCATCGACCACCAGCAGAGTTCTTCTCGACCACTGTCAAGTTATTCTCGACCACCACCAGAGTTCTTCCCAACTACTGTCAAAGTTCTTCCCAACCACCGTCAAATTCTTCACGACCACCCCTAGAGTTCTTCCCGACCACTGTGAAAGCTCTTCTCGACTGCCGCCGTAATTCTCCTTGATCGCCGTTGAAGTTCTTCCCAACTATCTCTATACTTTTGCACCAAAAGTACCCATTTGAAGATTGGCAAAGCTTTTCAATACATTGTATTCTCTCTGTCCTCGGGTTGGAGGGCGGATTGACTTTTGTAATCTATTTAAATACTAGTGGAGATGTTTCGACTAGGCAAGGCCCTGTGGTTTTTCCCTTTCTTAAGATTTTTCACGTAAAAAAATTGGTGTTTTCTTTATCATCTATTTAAGTGTTGAGATTTCATATATTGCGAAGGCAAAGTATTTTCACTACAGGAAAATCACTTATTACCGGCGGAATTTTTCGGCGGCTTTCCGGCAGTCAGTTTTCCGGCGGATTTCCGGCGGTTTTTGACGGCTTATTTCCTACAAAATTTTCCGCCGGTAAGCCGCCGGACGAAATTGCCGCCGGAAAAAACCGCCGGAATTCATTTTCCTACGCCGTTTTTACCGGCGGTAATTAAACCGCCGGAAAACTACAAAACCGCCGGAAAAGGCCGCCGGAAATGGGTGATTTTCCTGTAGTGTTTCACTCTGCCACCATGAAAAAAAAATTTAAGCACTATATAACTAAAATTTGTTATTTCTAGATTACTCTAGCTATGCACTCGATCTAGAGTAATCTATAAATTTATATGCTTATTTACCTATATATATGCACTCTAAATTTGATAGCAATTTAAATTTAAATGAAATTTGTTGGCATTTATCCCATGCACAAATCTTTGTGTTCATAATATGGGAGATTTTTATTGTTTGTCCTAATCCTTTCCTAACAAATTAATTTTCCATGCAAATATTTCATGATGTTATTCCATTATAGTGATCAAAATTAATAGCATGATTAATCTGGATAATTCTCGACTTCTGAAATAAGCAAACTCCTAGCCTAGGATATGTGTTTTCACTTGAAATATTTATTTCAAAAGGTTTTGTAAAATATCTTCTATTGGATGAGAAGAGCACAAGGAGAAATCCATGAAATATAAGCTATAGGCAAAAGAAGACACATTACACTACCACAACTATCACAACAAACTCAACTCTAGCAATGATGATATCACTACAACTCAAGGTACAGCTGTAGAAATTAGGAGAAAAGAAGAACAAGAAGGCACGAAAGGTAAACAGAGAAGAAGGAAATGATAAATCTTTTTATCTCTATTGCAGAGATAATACCAGCTATTATATATAGACTCAGCTAGGTACTGCTCAAGACAAATAAGCCAACCGTGAGCTAACACGTCATCTACAAAATATATATAATAAAGAAAATCCTACGGCTCTAATAACACCCACCAATACCACCAACACCACCAACACTACCACTAAACCATAACATCAGTTCCTAGTTCACCGTTCTACTCATCCCGACCTGGTGCATAGACACACCATTGCATTCATAAAATTTCTTTCCCACCACCACCATATGAAGGATTTTCTATATACAATCATATCCTATATGCAAAGCCAGCCTACAACCCCAATCAAAACTCAAATGACCAAACTACTCTGCATACTGCACAAAGCATGAACAAGGAATAAATTGAGAATTGATACGTTATCAAAGAATTATCTTGATCGAGCATGAATCTCGAGGCAAAAATCAAGTTGGAAACTTCAAAAATTAAATCCGGGAGCACCTGAACTTTGATTTCAGCAAACTTATAGTCAAACTGAGTGTCTCGGAAATACGAACCCAACGACACCAAATTTGACTCAATCCGAGCCCAAATGAGTCCAAATCAAGGACCTAAAGCACTGTTAGAAGGTTTGAACCACAATTTGAGTTACCAAACGGTCTCCGATTTTGGCGAGCTTATAGTCGAATCGAACGGCTCGACGAGACGAATCCAACGAGCCCAAGATCGCCGGATTCCGACATCACTAAGGCCTTCAAATGACTGACGAAAGGTGTATGATCAAAGGATTCAATATCAGCCGTCCATTCAACCACTCCCTGTTCGCCCCTGATCTCACACATATTTACAAGTCATGCCACTCCAGAAAAACTATAAGTAGAGCCCTCATTCTTCACAAGAGGGACTCAAGTGAAGAGACAGAAGAAGGAAAGAAGAAGAAAAAGGGGAAAGGGAGAATCCTCTCCTCCTCGACCACCGCCGGAGTTCGTCCTGCCGCCCGAACACGTCGGGATTCTGCGTGATATTCGGGAGAACGCAGGAATTCTGCCCAACTTCCACGTGATGCTGAAATTCTTCCCAATTTGCAACAGAGTTCCCTCCTGACGCTTAAACTCCGCCCAAGTGAAGCCGGAGTTCTCCTTTGCCACCAACAGACGTCGGGTAGAGTCTGACCCGACGTCGGACCTTCACTCTTCGCCAAGTTTCTACCCTACGCCGGATTTGTACCGGTTATCGGACATCGCTGGACGTCTACGCGAAGATGGATTTCTTTCCATTGTTGGACTTCTACCTGACGCTGTCCTTTTGATCTTCGTCGTCAGACTACAGTCTTTCCGACCTCCGTCGCCCGCCGACTACGGTCCTCCTGAGTTATGTCGCCCTCCGACTACAGTCTTTCCGACCTCTATCGCCCGCCGACTACGGTCCTCCTGACTTACGTCGCCCGCCGACTACAGCCCTTCCGACCTCCCTCGCCAGCCAACTACGGTCCTTCTGACTTACGCCGCCCACCGACTACAGTCTTTCCGACCTCTGTCGCCCGTCGACTACGGTCATCTTGACTTAAGTCGCCCGCCGACTACAGTCCTTCCGACCTCTTTCGCCAGCCGACTACGATCCTCCTGACTTACATCGCCCACCGACTACAAGCCCTCCGACCTCTGTCGCCCGCCGACTACGGTCCTCCCGACCAAACGAACATGTCAATAGTGATTCTTTGTATTCATATCATATAATGTACTCTATAAAATGTACATCAAGCTAAGGCCTTCTCCCAAGGAAGGGCCTCATTTGTAATTGACTGCAATACTAGTGGATTCATTCAAACTGGGCTAGGCCCCGTGGTTTTTCCCCCTTTTTAGGGGTTTTCCACGTAAAAAACTTGGTGTCTCATAAATGCTAGACCCTCTCTCTTATCTGATTGCGTGCCGGATTTTCGTACAATGCTAAGACGATAAACTTTATATTTCTCTATCGCCGCGAATACTCCCGGACGCAACAAGAATGATGGTGACATGTTAGGCTCAATATGATTGTCTTTACATGGTTAATTATTTTTAGTATTAGCCAACCATAACAATAGAATAATAATATTATATTTGAAAAAAAAAATCCTTATAATTTTTCTTGATCTTTAGTTTAACAAATTTGACATAATTTGTATTGTTAATAAACTATTCTTTTGATTTTGTGTTTTAAATCTTTTATCCTAAAATTTCATAACTATGAGGTAATGCTAAATTATTTTTGTATAGTAAAAGAAATTCTAACAGCTCCCCAACATCATGATCCGATCAGGAGGAACATTGGGTGACACTACTAAACATGCTTGCATGATATGTTCACCAATATTGGCAAATCCGCAAATCTTAGAAGAGGCCTATATGGATTGGCAAGAACAAGGTGGGCTAAGCAAAGCCACTATCATAGTGGAGAATCCAAGGTAATTTAAGAAGGATGAGCTGGATAAATAGAATCATGATTTCAGTATGGAAGTATAGTCACCTCTCTCCACACACAACATATATAAGGATGATGACCAGTGTAAATTTTATTTGTATTCTTATAATTTATTTACATCATAATATTATAGAAAAAAAAAATTTGGAAGAAAGTGCTTCCATACTACAGGAAAAATACTGATTCCGATGAAATTTTCAAAGGAAATTAATAAATCCGTTAGAAATTCGGATGGAATTTCTATCGGATTTCCGACTATTTTTCCAGAGGAATATTTCCAACGGATTTCTGAGGGAATTTAAATTTTTCTAAAAAATAATTATTATAAATATTTAAAATTATTCATTTTGGTAAATTAAATTAATTAAATTAAATATTATTAATTTTAATATAAATATGAAAATAATATAATTTTAACATTTTAAGGATGGAGAGTAAGGTAGTGCTAAGGCTTTTGTTTTGCCTGGCAAGTTAACATTTGGAATGGTTGTTGTTGAGAGTATTATAAGAGATGTTGGCAAGGTGACATTGATCCCATATGAAGCAGTACATGTGGGATTGAATGGGAGTCTCTCTCCATGTTCAGGGAGCTTGAGTTGGTGCATGTGTAGAGCCATAGAGGCTTGGGAGGGGTAGAACTAGCAGCATTTTGTTGTGTGAAATCTGATTATATTGATAAATTAGGTTGTTTTGTTGCTTCAGACCTTAAGTTTATCGTGCTTTTTAAGGGATGCGGTGGGTTTACCCACTTACAAAAAAAAAATTCATCCAACGCTCGTCACTGTATACCCTAGCACCCTGATGCTGATCGACAGAGAGCAGAACACCACAACGCTTTAGATTTGATACCACAGCGCTGCAAGTTTGAGCATCGCAGCATCATCAGACAGATGTTTGAGCGCCACAGTGCTCCAAATTAGCGTTGTAGCGCTACAAGAGTGATTGGACAATTTTCTTTCTTACGTCCCTTGATAGATATAACTTGTTTTATCTTATATTTCCTATTTGTAAACAATGAAAACGGTGTTGTGAAAACAGAAGCAATGAGATAGAGAGAGTACTTATTTATCTTAAACTTTTATAGTGATTTTCTTGATGCAATATGGCTTCATAAATTTTTCCCTACTTTTCGTTATTTTTACTTTCTTGTTTATTTCATTGTGATGTTTTACTCTCGCATCCCCAACACATTTGGATAACTATGCATAGAAGGTTTATAGCTCCTATTTCGAACCCTTGGTTGAGCAGCAGGAGAGGGTTTTTTTGGTAGCTCTGAAGGCATTGTTGGGCATAGGTTATGGATGAGTAAAAGTGCCACAGCCAATGCAAACCACAGACCAGTCATAAACCACCTTAAAGCTGTGAAATCCCATCCACAATGATTAAAACTTCTTCAAGCAAAGAACCCCATTTTTAACCTGAACTCGTATTTTCACAAAGTTTAGTGAAATTTTACCGACGGCAAGAGCATCCATAACAAGATGAACGCCTATCCAGCTTGTAATTTTGGATATTCTTTCTGGTTCTAGCAACAAAAGGATAGGTATGGCATAGCACATTCTAGTTGATCTCCGGACAGCGTTCTGCTTCCAATCTCCGCACAGAATAATTTCTACTGTCGAAGAGGGGAGTAGCGCTGTAAAGATTCCTAGGCACGAGAGATGAGATGCACTTGCAGAAGGGCTCTCCTTTGATTAATAATTTAAATCAAACTGATTCACATACACTCACAGCTATTGATTCAAAATATCAAGAAATTTCACAAAGTTGAACACAACGAAAATATCGAGAAACACCAGAATTATAGCCTGAATCAGAAGACTAACAACCATAGATTACCAATAATACACAACATATATTTTTAATAAGGATTACAATCAAAGGCAACAAAGATATCCAAAGATGGAATCAGGTCTTAACAAACACATCTTTTAATTTTTAGTCCAACAACTAAACGCTCTCTGGTACTAATCTGGAGTATATGATATACAGAACAAGGCAATAAAGATTTTACTAACACGGCAGAGGCTTTCAATATTGCCACACACAACACTAATCCCTTGTCTCATATGAACACATGATTTTTTTTTTTTGGTGATATTATAAGATCCAACAAAGTTACAATCCTAGGAATGCACACTGCTTCTTTGCATGCTCTGGAATGAGTTTCACCAAAAACTCCATTGAAACTCCCTTCAGCTCTGTTCAACATCATATTTGTTTCAAGTGAATAGTTTAGTATTGTTCTACTATATGAACAATTTAAGCAATAGGAAAGAAAAAAATTGGATCATGATGAATTCTAAAAGAATTAAATTTTGTTTTGAGATAATGTAATACATGATCAATCAATTAATGTATATATATATATATATATAATGCACTGACATGTCGTAATGATGAAATGAAATGTACAAACATCTGACATATGTCAAACACAATATAAATTTATAATTAAAAATCATTACGCAATTCATATTGGTCTGTTAGTTATCAACCAAGAGGTCTTGGGTTCGTCTCATGAATGTAATGTGTGTGTGAGTTTCTCTTAATTGACCTTAATGTTTCAAAAAAAAAAATTAAAAACATTAAGAAACATGTTGTGGGATAGATGCATAAATAATCATTTCAACTTTAAAATTATATATTATAAATAACTAAAGACATCTCATTTTTTATTTTAAAATATATTATAACTTAATATCTATATAACAATAATTTTATTTTTTACTTTCCGCAATTCTACTACGATTTTTTATAATGTTTATTTTTTTTTTTAAGAATCAATTATTTCAACATCAAACTAATAATCTAGAATATCATGTCACAATTTCTTCTAATTCAATAACATATTTTTTTAGTAAAATTAAATATATTCCTAATTTTACGAGCAATTAAAATAAAACTAATTATTATATAAATGCATTTCATATTTTTTTATTTGTATAATTATTACTTAATTTTGATATTTTTTTAGGATATGATATTATAATATCACATCAAATGTGCCAATAAAATATACTTCCTATCAATAATAGGCATCCCCTTATCTGTGCATATATGTGTGGAGTTTCATGCAACTCTAATATTATTGAGCATAAACTCTCTTACGCTTGCGACAAGAGAATCTATGAATGATATCGCTGAAAATAGAAGAATTCTGTACAGACAAAAACTAGCTGGCCAAGCAGTACGCGAATAATGCGGTCAAGCAAAATATTAAAAAAAAAAAATCACCAGAAAAAATTGCTGCAAACTATTTTCAGAATGAACAGTTGAAATATTGCCAAAATTGTCCTATGCGGGGGATAATCAAATATACTATCTTGATCAGAATAGAAGTACATATTCATAACTATGGTTTACTAAATTCTAACAAACATGCAACAGCAGCAAAAGCGTAGCATTGTAGCAAGCCTAATTAAGAAGAGCTCTATCAAAGCAAAATCCTTATGAGCTTTTTAAAAAAAATTACTAATAAGTAGTAACAAAAAAAGACATTTTTAACACAAACAAGCTCAATTTGTTCCCAATCTACCCACCAACCTAATTAAAAAAGAGCAGTTAACAGCTAGCCAGACCCCCTGTAGTACAAAGATGCATGCAAGATTAAGGCTCCGTTTGGAACTGCATTTTTATTGCTTCTTAAAACAGCTTTCTAGTTTAAAAATTAAAAATTTTAAGCTTAAAGCCACATATTTATGAAGTACCTTGCTCCAAAAGAGTACAGACAGATCCATCAGAAAGCAGAGGAAGAGCATAGAGATGTCCATGAGAAGAAGGAGCTTCTCTTCCTCCTCCTCCTCCTCCTCCTCCTCCTTCATGGCTGTGCTGATCATTCGAAAAGTTCGAACTAGATAGAGAGAAGCCCAGCCAACTCTTGTCTTCCATTGAGCAATAAGTTGAGAAGAAAAGAAGATATTCAAATGAAGAAGGCAGAAATAACAAAACAAATCTGCATCTCTATATCTCTCTATCTTGAGCACGGATACCAAAGCTAGTATGAAGAAAAGGCATCATGGGCTTTGTCCTTCTGCTGCAGCATCTTATACATATGTGAAGGCAGCAGCGGACGATAATGAACAAAAGTCTAGTTTCTCAGTTCTCACTCTACATCCTCCCTTTCTCTCTCTATTGGACTTTGTGCCCTGAAGATACGTGATGCATGAGAAATATCGGCGTTCTCGTGGACAGTGCACCCAAAGGTCCACCTGCTAAATGACGCGCGGAGCCCACTTGTCAACAAAGAGGGTGTCACTTTTATGAGTTCCTTTATGGCCTTCTTTTCGGTTCTCGTAATCGACTGGATTTCGTTGCACCCAAAAGGAAACCATGGATCTGAACGCTGGGTAGTGGGGGTGGGACGCGATAGGTGTGAAAGTGGGGCAGCGATAAAGAAGAGGAGGGGTTATCTCAAAGTCTGTGCCATCGTTATCGTATCCTTCTATCGGCTCTCCGTCCGTTGGGCGGAGGGGGTGAGCTTCAAGGAGAGGATTTGCTTGGTTTTTGCCGATAAGGGTATTTTTTTAGTCAAGTGCACTAAATTAATATAATAATATTTATGATTATATTAAATGATAAATTATTATAACTTACGTCATAATCAAAATTTAAGGACGTAAACTATGAATAAAGTCTAAAATATATCAAGGAGCGACTCCTATGACAACTTATACACGGGTGAATAAGAAGAGTTTTGATAAATCAATAATTAAATATTTTTTAAATATATAAAATATTGAAAATAAAATTGAGAATCCTAATAAATTAAATTCAAATGCCCATCCTACCCTTAAAAACAAATATACAACCACAAACTCACCACTTGGCCACCTACTCACATCCTATTAGTAAGCCTCGATCAACTCTACACCATTTAGGTTTTTTTTTAGGAGTGTCATAGTTTAACAAGACCTGAAGGACCTGATTTGAAATTTCGGATTATGATTATCTAGTTTACCATATGGGTCGAATGCATATTGAGTTTAGAATGACGAATATCTAATGGATTCATACTCTTTACCAAACATTTAGGGTCGACTCCATTATGGGTCACTCTTTGCTCAACTTCCTCGATGACTTATTGGAAAACCATTAAATAAAATAACACCCAAAATATGGGAGAAGTGATGAGTTCTATTACTGATGAATATTCTGTAATAAATATATTTTGTGATCTAGAGAATGTGAGGACTACCAACCAAAGATGAATATATAATATACTTAGATCTCAAAATGAAAGAAATCTAGAACTTTTAAATAATGTTCTAGCAAAAAATAATAATTAAAGTGATGGTGACTCATGACCATTTGAGAATATTTTATTTACATTGAATGTCTAATCTAAATATCAATCTAATAATATCCATGCCTGGTACTCAATTGAATAAACTCTTTGTGTGTATATGCATCACATGAAAATCACAAATTACAGGCAAAACTTCTAACAGAATTTTCGACGAATTTTTGGTGGATTCCTGACAGAATTTTTTGAATGCATTTGCATCAAGCTTCTGAAGGACTAATTTATGGCGAATTTTCGATGAAATATTTCTGACATAGATGAATGGTGGAATATGATGAATTCCTGACAATTTTCGAGTGGAATTTAAAATATTATGGGAAATAATAATAATTTCTTATCAAACTAAACTAAATTAATTAAATTAACTAAATTAAATAATTATTGCTAATATAAACTAACTAATTTAAATATTAATTTTATCAAATAAATGTTCTATAATTTATAATTTAAATAAAAGTATAATAAGAACTCCAATAGGTTTTTCTTTGTGTCCTATTAGATATGAGTTAGTAATTCTCCCCGAGAAGCAGAATTCAAACCTCACACAGGTAGTGGGCAAGCAACAAGGTAGGAGCATGCACGGGCGGGCAGCGGGCAAGGGAGAGTGGGCGGGTAACCAGTCACGTGTAGATGCAGTATGGGTGAGTGTGCAGCTATTAGTCGGATTTTTTTTATTTTTTATTTATTTTTGATGGATTTTTTCGCCAGTATTTGCTTTCCAATGCATGTTTTAACGAAAAAAAAAATTTCATTGGAAATGTGTTATTCTTACGAAAAATTTTTGATTTCCTATAAAAAAATTCACTAGAAATCAACCATTTTCATGTAGTGATGGCGTGACATAAGGCAAATCTTGATAGAAGACAGGTTGTTTATAGATGAAGTTATTATAAATTGTTAAAGAACTTTTATGTAAACATTAAAACTTGACATTATGAGCATATTTATCTTTTACATAGGACATAGAAATGTGTCACTCCTTTAAACATTTTAGAAGTTTAGCATATTCATGTTAATGCTTTTAGGAATAAGTAATAAGGCCATAAACCTCACTAAATTAACTTTAAAGATATTTTAGAGGTCCGAACTCATTATATTTTATAAATTCCTATAATTTTCACGCCATATGATAACTTGAGATGATAGCTTTGGAAGTTTTGGTGAAATGTCATTTGAAAATGCAATGTATTAACTATGATAATGGAAGTTTTGGTGAAATATCATCTGGAAATTTTAGGTTGTCAAGGCATCAACTATGATAGAGACATCTATGGCAATGCATTATTGTTTGATTTTTCCTAAATGATACATAATGTGATATAACCTTTAGTTTCCCTATACTTAAAAAAGTTACAAAGGGACTCACTAGTGAGCTTCATGTGAGAATAATCAAGTTGAATTGTAACATTTACACATTTTAAAATAATACTAAGGAAGATTCACGTGGAAAAAAATCAGAATTCTACCAATTTGGCAGGTGATCTATATTATAATGATGACTGCATCATTATAAAAAAAAAATGGTCATTGGTCAATTAAAATCAATGATGGCATTTGAAAAATATGACAAAAATGAGCTTGAAGATATTACTACAAGTAATCTCTTAGTCATAGTCACTTAAGGCTTGCTTACCTCGATGTTTTGGTCCCAACTCCTATTAGAATATATGGAACACCTCTTATGATATGGATTGCATGTGGTAGACATGTTCGTTATTATTTTTTTCATTGCCACTTTCTTAAGATGTTATCTTGGGTCAATCATGAAGAAGACTTTTAGACATCCAACATGGATGTGCTCTTCAACTAGAGCATAGAGGGGACAATAATCCTTTGTGTCATATTCATGGTCATTAAGGAATATACAATGCGTTAATGGATTTCATTTTTAAGGGTCCATATGCATTGGTGGTGAATGCCAACATAATATCTTTTCATGAATGAAATTAATAATATGTATGCCAATGACATTTAGAAAAGGGTATAAGTTAGGTATCGCAACTCCTAGTTTGACTTCACCCATTTCATAGGTTGTAGGTTAGATGGCATGTGTACTGCCTCTTACAGGTGAAAAAAATAGTTTGTTGCTAGTGGTGCTAATAAGATAGTGATATAGAGGCTCATATCACAACTGTTGGTACATTATATGATCTAATTCATTGATCTCAATTTAGTTGCTAAGAGTCCCCTATTAACCCAAAATGATGCGAATTGGAGGAGGAAGCTAAAGCCACATGAGTGTACTCAAAGTAACTTGATTAAAGTTTTTTGTTATTGTGAGATCAAGGTTGTCACGCTCCACAATGTAATTTGAAAGATTTTTTTCTTTTATCTTTTATTATACAACAATCGTAGCTATTTAATTTCATCCATCAGAATAAACAGCAGAAATATATTCTATAATTCAAGACATCAATACATATCCATAGTCATCGACCAAAAAATAAATCATATATAATACTCAAGCATCATATAATCATATTATATTTTTTTATTCTTGAGCATAAAAGAATAGCTAAAAAAATAGAAAATGAAGAATCCCGATCAGTCTCATACACCTAAACACTTCCTTGATCTGAAATAATTTAAATTATATATAATAAGCTAAACAACCCAACATGTCACTAAAATCCTATAATTAAACTCAAAGCATGGTAAAGAAGCAATATGAATGTCAATAATAAAATCATAGAAGTAGCATTCATATAAATATTGCATCAGTGCAAAAATAATAATACTCACACACAATCGCAATAATATCTATAAATCAATGAAATAAAATGGTATGGAAGTCAGTAAAATAGTGCAGTAAGGAAATCAATAAATTAGTACGGGTATCAAATCAATATTGTAGTCATTGTATTAATATTATCAATTAGTAGAGAAAAAACATCAATAAAAGCTGTAAAAACTCAAAATCAAATGCAGAGAAATCATTTAGAAATGTACACATACTATCCAAATATTCTATATTATTATCAAATTAGTATATTATGTGCTCAATATGTCACATACTTAATATCCGTATAACAAATCAATAGTATCAAACATATTCATGTCCATAACAGTAACAGTAAAATAAGTGACATCCGGGAATCCCAACACTAGCCATATGAACTTAGCGGGAGGCTAAAACTCTATGATATCCATTTAGAAGGAAAAAGTTGGTTGTGCATGATGCTTGTTAGAACCACAGGAAGATGAGCCTTCGTTGTAATCTCCTATAAATATATGACTCATTATCATAAATAGATGGAGCCACAACCTTATGACTAGAACAATAATGACATGTTGAAAAAGTAGAAAACCATGCTTTTGAGGAGATTGCACGAGACGAAAAATCTATGGGAATCCCTCAAACATTTCTTAGATAATGTTATTTAGATATTCTTCCCTATGCTAGTTGTTTGATCTTAACATTATCATTAAATTGGTTAATTTACAAAGAATTTTCCTTATGATACTCCATAACCTCATTCTTTAACATACGAGTGATGCATAACTATTATGTATTTAATGATGTTGTATTCAACGTTGTTCATGAAATCAGAGTAAAATAATACTACAAATCAACATCAAGCCAAGCAAGAGAGAGAATATATTAGGGTTTAAAATTATCTTAAAATATAAAATATCTTTTATTTCTAATCAAAATATATATATAAAAAAAAGATAGAAAACACAATTAATCCCGAAGGCCCGTAAATGAAGTCGCGGTAGATTCTTCCATAATTCCCCACACGTCCGTTGCTCTTCTAGATCTCTTAATTTCCTTCGATTCCTTCCTCCATGTTCTTCTAATTCCGAAACAAATTGCTACTTGAGAGCGAGATCTATTGATTGGAGGGGCTAATTGGAGATTAATCCTTCCCATAATTTCATATTTTTTCCCTACATGCGCCTTCTTACCCGCCGGAGACGCTTGAGCGCCCGGCTGGTGATTGGAAATCTTCACCCTAGCTTCTCAACAGATTGCTGATCTCTAACTCTAATTACATCCAATATTGCCCTCTCCCTTCTCTCTCCCTTTCTTTCCTCTGTCATTCACGAGCCTACCCCCGCGTCGTCCCCCGGCCACCCTCCCCCAAGAACGTCATATCCCATGCGCCCGGCCTTGTTTATCACACTCCCTCAATCTCTCCCTTCCACCGGCAGCTTTCCCAGCAACCTTTTCCTTCCTGTCGCCGTCATCGGTCCCCATCGTCGCGACCGCCGCCTCCACCGGGAAGGCTGAACCTCGGTAAAAAGTTGGCTCATTGTTCGCTGCCACAGCTATCATCCTCCAAGTGATTTTTGCGGCCTTTCTCATTTATGAGTGTTGGCCGCTGAAGAAGATGGGAGAAGGCATAAAACGAGAGTCTTTTCTTGATTGTGGGCTGTAACGGTGATTCCGAGATGTCTTTTTGTGGCTTGAAATGAGATCCTATTCGACTACAAGGTGGAGAGGGTCAAGATTGCAGGTATAAAATGCTATTTCCTTGATTTCAAATGGAAGCTGTGGCATATTTGGATTGCTGGTTAGTCGCCATGCTGAATTTGAAAGTTGTCCTTCTCAAGTTTGGCAGCAGAGGATGGAGCTTCTCCAATGTTCAATGTAAAAGTGGGTACACAAATAATGCTTCTTTCGTTCTTAGCTTGATTATTGGTTTTTATTTCTTTGAATATATAAGACTGGTAATGCTGCGTGTCTTGTACACATAGTTTTATCTTCCTTGATTTATCTGTATTTATCATTGTTAGATATTGATCATAGATTTAGGATTGTATTATGTTTAGGTTTCTTGTATGGCTTGTAAAGTCATTAGTGAAGCTTTCTATGTTGCTATTTTGTGTTTATAAATAGAGGCTTATAGGTTGTAATTGATTAGGGGGTTAAGAAATAAAGTTTTTGAATTCAGCTCTGCCCCTCTCCCCTTCCCTCTCTCCCTCCTCCTCTCTCAAGATCAAGAAGAGGAAGTGCTTCTTCCTCTCCAAAGTAAGATCTGACATCTAGTATCAGAGCCACGGTGGTTGCGATCTCGAGGTGGAGGAGAGGCGGTTTTCTTGTCCAAAGAAAATGATTCAAAGAAGGAGGTGCGGTTGGCGGCCAAGCTCGGACGCGCGTTAGGAGGCAGACGCGTCAATCATTTTGCTTGCGTGAAGAGCTGGAAGCAGGTCCAAGTGGTCTTTCACGTGAGTTCGTCGAGACTGGAAGACGACAGATCGGGGCCGAGCGGCATCGGGCTTGGGCTCTGTTCCCGTAAACCAAAGGTAAGATCTGGCGTACGTGGGAGTTTTCTGCGAGCTAGAGCAGACCGAAGGCACGTGTAGGACCGGAACCTCATGCAGACGGCCGAATTGAACATAAGTTAGTTTTCTTGAAGGGATAAGGATCCACGTGCGGGTTGTTTCATGCAAGGATGATCGAACAAGGCAGATCAAACGGAAGCTAGAGGTTGGGCTCGGCGACCTTGCTTGACATTGGATCGAGGAATAAGAAAGGTTCATTCGCACAGAGTAGATGCAATGGAGGCTAGAGCTTTCACATTGGCGTGGAAGACCGGTATGGTTGTTCTTTGTGAACATTGATTATCTTTTTTTTTGTGTAAATCTAGGATCAAGGTGGATATTGTTAGATATTGATCCTAGATTTAGGATTGCATTTTGTTTAGGTTTCTTGTATGGCTTATAAAGCCATTAGTGTAGCTTTCTATGTTGCTATTTTGTGTTTATAAATAGAGACTTATAGGTTGTAATTGATTAGGGGGTTAAGAAATAAAGTTTTGAATTCAGTTCTCCTCTTCTCCCATTCCCTCTCTCCCTCCTCCTCTCTCAAGATCAAGAAGAGGAAGTGCTTCTTCCTCTCTAAAGCAAGATCTCACAATCATTTTAAATGTACAATCAAGGTGAATAGCTGTAGTAATCCTTCTGCTACTTAAGCAAAAAGTGTAAAGCATCATGTTTTTAATCTTTTAGGGGCTGTTTGGTAGCAGGATTTTTACAGGATTTAAGCCAAATTCTGCCAAATGGTCTTAAAGACCAAAATAAATGAGAAATTTGACTTTATATGTCTCATAGTGCACATAATTGAAGAAATATAGCAGCTGTTTGTGTTCTTAGAGACATATGCCTTGAAGTTCAATATAGATGTAATGACTCCAAAAGATGCATAGCCTTTTGTATTTGTTGATTGTTTTTTTTTTTTTTTTTTAATTGAAGCATCAAGTTTGTTTGAATTCAAGCCTAGCTTGAGCCTAGGTTTGAACAAAGTTCCAAAACAGCTTTGAACGGAGGTTTAAATGTCATGCGAAGTGGTCGCACAAGTTTAGGTGTGTGTGACAAGAAGAGGAGATTGTGAGGGGGCTGGGCATCAACGGGATTTAATGATGTATTAAAGAGAAGAAGTGTTTGTGATGGGCAATAGATGGGGCATTAACGAAATATGGCGGTGTGCGGAGGGAAAGTTATTGACGGCTAGGTACTAGCATCAATGGGCTTTGATGGCGCATGAAGGAGAAGTGGAGAGGCATGGGTGTGATCCAATGACATTTGAAGAAGAAGGGGAGATAGCGAAGATTGGGATTAACATCATCGGATCAAAAATTGGATTTTGGAGTTATGATGAGGCTTAGGTTGAGTGGTGGTTGATCTTAGGGCATGAGTAGGATGTAAAAGAAGTGTAAGAAAGATTGAGAGCATATGTTTAGAGAAGAAGAGTAAAAGCCAAAGATAAAAAAAGATAGCCACTTAATCTCAGCAAAGAACATATACACACATGCAACCGCCAAGCATCAAAGAAATGAAGAATATGTCTCCACCAAATATCTCATTCCAAAGGTGAAAATTATAATGCATACCAGTTTATATTTATAGCCATTACAAGACCTATTTTCAACCACTTTTAAAGGGAAAAAATGAATTGAAAAGAGGGGGTTAGTGGCCATTAATGAATTCCTACCACCTATTTTCAATACTTTATCCATGCTAAACTATATCATAGCTAGTCATATAGTCCCTAGGTTAAAAATAAAAATTATAAATTATAACTAATATTTAAAATATTCTAAATTATTAGTCTTATGATTGGGCCTTTACTTTAATCATTTTTCTTGGGCTTCAGCCTTTGCTCTTGTAACTGGTATTTTAACTTGATTATCTCTTCCACATGATGTGCTACATCACATGTTGTTATTCTATTTCATGGAGGTCAATGCGGGTATTGAGGCCATAAAACTCCTCTATGTATTCGCTAATCGAACATCCCCTTTATTGACATTGTTATTATTTATTATATAATATTTGGTCATAATTCAATAGGTAGAAAATATTACTGGCGCAACATCTACATTCAAGACGATGAGCAGATGGGGCACTTGCTTCTTATCATTGATGAATTTGTAGTTACTCCCACCAAGTAGTTGCCTCGTGATTTAGCTTTTAGGCAAACAACATTATCTCTTTGTTATTCGGCATTTCCATGTACTCAAATAAGTTTTCTTGTTATTGGGCATTGAAATGATGTGTGTCAAATTTCAAATTGAATTCCAATTGGTGATGATGACTAGGGTTTGGTTTGCACATTGGGTATGTCGTGTATCCTTAAAGGCCCAAAGTGGGTCTCCACTTTGGGGTCTAAATCAGACTCAGAAAGGTCAGGCCTCAGTTGCAGTGGCTTAAAGAATATGACCTAGAACTTCAATAATTTTCATTTCTTCTTGCATGCAGGGGCCATTGTTGATCTTGGAGCTTCCTTAGTGAAACTTGGTTGGAGTTTTACTAAAGGATAGTAGTCTCACAAGGTAGTTGGTTAGTAATAGTTTCTTCAATCACAACAACAAGGATCTTCTACATGATTAAAGAAAGGAAATTGAATTTTGTTGTGTTGGATGCTTGATGGGCCTTTACACTGAGATCTAAGCTTATGTTTTGATAATCATATCTGCCTTTGTCGCCTATCATGCTGGAGCTCCAAGCTCTAATGCTAACCTGACGCAACAAAGTTGTAAATTAAGGAAGATGATGCATTGAAGAAGCATAAACCTTAGCGAAGTGGCAAAAACTTGGAAGAGATGTTTATTCCCTTCTTGGAACAAAAACTAAGTTACAAACCCTTTGCATACCATAGTAGCAATATTTCTAAGCTAAGACAAAACAAGAATTCTCTTAGTAAAATAAAAAGGGCTAAACATGATTAGCATAACCCAAAAAGGAATGGCAAAGCAATTTGTGTGAGTTGTGGAGTTGAGTTGTGGGTGCTGCTATATGTTCTGGGGAGTTGATTTGACAATCGTATCAATCACCCATCTTAGGAGTGTTCTAGCATGAGTCTGCTTGCTTTGGTGTCCCTAAAGTAACTTTAACTATTGCATCAAATTTCGTCTCATTATTTAACAATTCAACTTTGCTATGCTTAAGGGTTCTTACAAATTGGAGAGCATTTAGTGGATTCAAAATGTTGGGAAATTTGTTTGTATATCATCAAAATATTTCTTATTTACAAAACTAACACCTAAGCTTTTAAAATGAATCGTTGAGCTTCTGTATTTTTTGCATGATGCTAACATATCATTAAGAATTTAACAAATTTTTTGTCAATAAAATTTGATAGTTTTATTGTGCCCTTCAAGATTTAGGCAATATTATTATAATTAGAAGAACTACGTGTTTGGTGTTAAATAAGAAATTGTCCAATTTTTTTTTTATTTAGTTCACATTAGCTTCGCATTAGAATCTATAGGAAAAATTCAGTCGTTTTGACTTTTGTCTTGGGGCATATAGGGGAAGAGGGGAACTATGCTATATTGTTATTTGTCTCTCTTTTAACTAAGCAATATTATTATGTTTTTCTCTTTTCTTTCCATTTAGTTTTACTTAGTTGAATTTAGCTTGGCTCGTCTTTTTTTCATTTTATTATTGATCCATAGTATTTGGGAGAATTGATGATGATAATTGATTTATAATTACTAGCTTATTTTAGCCTAGGAAAAGATCTAGGAGAATGCAATCCATAACAAGCTATTATTGAAAGACAAAAAATCCTACATTAATGGTTACAATTGTGGATTACGGGTGAAACTTGGGTGTTTGTAATCAATTTCCAGAGCTATTGACAACAATATGATAGGAAACACTTGGATTCACAAGTGTTCCTAGCCAAAATCAGTAAACTGCAGCAGATTTTTTGCTGTCCACAGCAGGAAACAACCCAAAAACAGAGAAAAACAGGAGTTTTACACGAGAAATCTGAGAAAAAACGAAGAAAAACTCTTGTATTTCACTAGTAGATGAATAAAACAGCAAAGATACAATTGATCCTCAATTCGAGAGGAGGATCGATCTCTCCCAAATCTCTAGACGCCGCTAGAGCCCAAAGAAAACCTAAATCCAAGAGATCTCAAATTTCAGCCAAATTCAAGATACTCAAACCCTAGGAAAATCAACTATTTAATGCATACAAATCAAAAGGAATTCCCTAAACAATCCCTACATTCAAATTTCCCTCTTAACTCCCCAAAATTTCTTTCCTATTTGGCTCCCGCACACCGTGTGGCTTGCTCGGCATCCCAGCGTGCGGAGGTTTTCTGCCCTGTTCGCGTATGAGCCGGTCCCGCCTGGACCGGCTAGACCGGTCCACTGGACCGGTCTAACACAACAACATCAAGCCTTTATCCCACTACGTGGAGTTGGCTACATGAATCCTTTTTCTCCATTGTGTCCGATTAATAGTTAAATTCTCATTTAGATCTAATAAAGAAAGGTTATTTCTAATATTTTCAAACCAAGTCTTTTTATGTCTACCTCTATCTTTCTTAACATAGGTTAAATCTAATACATCTACTCTCATAACCAGGTTATCGGAAGGCTGTCGTTTTATGTGACCAAGTTATCTAAGGCGACTCTCTCAAACCTTATTTGCCACTAGAGCTACTTCAACTTTTTCACGTATATGCTCATTTCATATCATGTCTCTAAGAGTAAAGCCACTCATCCACCTGAGCATCCTCATCTCTACAACAATTAACTTAATATTATGCTTCTCTTTTACTGCGCCATAAAATATTGCAGGTATAACCATCATCTTATAGAATTTTTCCTTAAGTTTGAGTGGTACTTTTCTATCACACAACAAGCCCGATGCATTCATCCACTTCATCCATCCAAGTTTAATTCTACTAATAATATACCCATCTATTTCATCATCACTTTGAACAATAGACCCAAGATATCTAAAATATGTACTCTTATTAATGACTTGATCACTCAAAGTCACAAACCCCTCACTAAATATATTACTACTAAAATTATACTCCATATATTCAATTTTAGATCTACTCAATGAAACCTTTAGTATCTAAGGTTGAGCTCCAAAATTCAAGTTTACCTTTAACTCTCTCTTTAGTCTTATCAACAAGAAGAATATCGTCAGCAAAAAGCATACACTAGGGAACATCCTCTTGCAAATCTCTAGTAAGAACATCCATGACTAAAGCAAAAAGATATGGGCTTAAGGTTGATCTTTGATTTAATCCAACTGAAATATGAAAATACTTGGTCAAACCACCTTGTGTTTGAACACAAGTAATAGCTCCAACATACATATCCCTAATGACTTGAATATACACATTAATAATCCTTTTTTTTAGAATTCTTCATAGCATTTCTCTTGGAACTTTATCATATGCTTTCTCTAAATCAATAAATATCATATGAAGATCTTCCTTTTTCTCTCTATACTTCTCCATCAAACCTCTCAATAAATGTATGGCTTCTATAGTAGACTTACCCGGCATGAATCCAAATTGATTTTGAGAGACATTAGTATCACGTTGTAACCTATGCTCCATAGCTCTCTCCCATAATTTTAAAGTATGACACATCAACTGAATTCTTCTATAATTTGCACAATCTTGTGCATCACTTTTATTCTTAAAAATAGGAATCAACTCACTCATTCTCCACACATCTGACATCGTTTTAGTCTTCAAAATAATATTAAAAAGTTTAGTAAGCCAAGAAATTCCTTCATCTCCTAAGCATTTCCACACCTCTATTGGAATATCATCAAGTTCAATTCCAGAGCTATTAACTCTTGGGGAAAATTCAAAGAGTTCAAGTTGTTCTTCTAGATGAGCCAACTTATGGGTGAATCTCAGTTAACCTTTGTGTTTAGCATCTTCTGGACCTTATCAATTATTGAGGATTGTATTTGGTGTTGGGGGGTTGATACTCAGTAGATTTCTCTTCATATGTCTTCCTTTAGGATTAGGATAAATTATATTGAAATTATCTTTTGAAATTATTTGATTTATTATTTGTGGTTAGAATTTCTTCTTTAATATTGTTTTATGTGGTGTGATATATTGCAATGCAAATATTTAGTTTTATATGAATTCACCTTACAAAAAAATATGATAAGCACTTTTCTGTTGTACTCGTCTCAATTCCTCCCAAAGACAAATTTGTGGATCCACCAGTCTCCACTTGCGTTATTCTTTGATCAAAAAGTTAGGAAACGCCAACATTCGCAGATTCTATCCTTTCTTTTGACAGATATAATCACCGAATTGCAACTTTTGTAAAGAAAATCAGCAAGTTATTTAGCGCATGAAGGGAATGATGACAACAAATCATTAGATCTAAGTCAACATGCATTGTACAATTAATATTTGTATTTTTCCATATGTTGTAGCTTTTTATTTTGTTGTGTAATTTGAAATTTAAATTCAAATTCAAATTTGGGTTGCTAGCATGTGGGACGTCCCTCCTACATGTATGCAGGACGACACCTTAAAAATATGCTTCTTTTGGTTACGAGGTGCTTCCAATACAAGCCCTTCTTCGTAGAAATTCAACCATAATCACCCAAATCCGTCCCCTCCAATTTTATCTCATGTAATGAACTTATAAACACTTGTGGTTTGTACAACAATAGGTAGTGGATTTATGATTAAAATTTGTTTTTTTTTTTTTTTTTTGAATCTTGCTTGGTTGCAGATTTCGGATTCTAGCTTGTATGCTTTGTGGCTTTCAATCAAATTTGATCTTTTGACTATTATTGAGATATTTATGTTTCCTCTGTGATTTTCAGTTCTACATCGTATGAGAAGTAAAAGCTCTCAATCACTCAGCCACATCTCTATTTCCCTTGAATTCTGTACTTGTCTTATGCGAAAATTCCTGAACCGAAAACTAAGTTGCCAGATTAAGAGAAACATGACGCTAGTCTGCTACTACACAAATTTAAGGGCATTGATGGCCCATTCGTGATCATGACTGACCAATTCCAGCTTCGTTTGAATGGTTTCCATTAAAGAAGTACCAAAACCTTTGAATTTACAGGTCAATAATTCTTGAAACTAATTAAATAGTAATAACTCCCACCGATTATTTTCCATTCTAATTCATCTTTTAACCAGTTCCACTAGGTTCCATTTCCAAAATTTGAATCCTAGATATATGGTTTATGAGCTGAGATATTTTCTTGGCTAGGAGTAACTTTGTGAAATGAATTGTATAGTATGGTATCATCCACATCAATGGCTTGGGCCCATAGGAGGAGAATAGTTTTAGACTAAACAGTGTTGGGAAGTTACCCGCAAATAAAGAAACAAAAGCACACATTTCGAGGGGAAACAACCCATACTTTTGCATGTTTGAAAAGGCTTCTCCCTCAGTTGAAAAAATATTCGGTGCAGAGTCCGGACGGTAAAGAACCGTTTGTATGTTTTGATTTTTTTATACACAGTGTATACACTCACATCCGAACGGTTCTTTATTGTTCGGATTCCGCATGGAATAATTTCTATAGTAAATGAAGAAGCAAACAGCATGATGAAAAAATAACTGAAATCAAAATAGAGATTGAGCAGAAAAAATAATAACAGTGAATTTCCAGCTTCATTATTCTAGAGAAAAACCATTTGAAGGATTTAGAAGAGAAAAGTATTGGCTGGTTAGAGAGGATTCAGCACTGAGAGGAGTCTAAAACCATTTTGGGAAGGAGATGGCTGTCTGGGTCTTAGTATAAGAGGTGTTCTCCTCTTCCAATTCCATCTGTGATTCCTTATTCTTCTGCGGCCGCTCATTAAAAAAGTGGCGCAAAGGCCTCTGCCTCTCTTCTTCCTCTTCCTTAGATAAAGAGTAGCTTTTTTGGTTTGCTTCATTTAAAGAACTCATTCCCATAGGTTTTAGCTGCAAAGGATTTTCCCTCTCAGATCCAGATGCATCAGAAAAGATGCTATATCCATCCAAATGCTTCATCCTTTGACCATACCTGCATCAATCATGAGAAAAACTCAACCACACAGAAATAGTACTAAAGGTTAAGGTACACTGTAAACCAGGCTCTGCAAAAGAAGAGAAAAGGGATATCAGCAGAACCTCTGAACTGTACCTGTAGTCTCTGTTCGAGAAGGATACCGTTTTTAACCGAAGATTGGAAGTTCTTGAAGTAGCTGAGAAGTGAGACCCAGGTGGCCTGGTCGTGCTTGAGTAAGGGCTTAAAAGTTGGTAAGCATCTAGAGTGGAGATTGAGAGGTTTGCGGGGTGTTGGCGATGAGTAGAAGATGACGAAGCGTTGGTGTGAATGCTTGTTGTTAGAGATATTTGCGCTTGCTTTCTTAAACGATTTTTCCCCCTGTGCATGTGCCTCTCACAGTACTTGGAATCAGGGTAAGCTTCCTTCGAGCACCTCCACTTCTTGCCATCAGTCCTTCTGCACCTTCCTTGCTCTGGATCCTCTGCTTCCCTTCCAAGTCCCAACTGAACGCAGCTCCACCCCACTGAAACGGCAAAAAAAACAAGGCAAAATTTTCTAATACATTTTGGTGAATTATCGAGAGTTGAAGGTTTATGACATGCTAAGAAGTAGAGATTTAAGAGAGAAATTACGTTGTGATTGAGGAGGGAAAGCCAAAGAAGGTGAGGTTTTAATGGAGTTAAAAAGGAAGCTTCTTCTTATGGGGAGTATAAAATCAGACGGGATTGGGATTCCTGAAACCATATACTTGTAGATGAGAGCCTGGTGCTCCAGCTCTTGCCATTGTGAAGCAGTAAAGAGATGCACTGAGCTGCTTTTCTTTTCATTCATCATCATTTCTTAGGCAAGCTACGAGAGAGGAATTAGGATTGGAACTCCTATATTAATGCCACTAGGGTTCATTTAAGAATGCATTCATTTGTAAAAAGGTCAGTTTCGTAGCTGTAGAAAGTGATTCAGTCAACAAAGAGAGGCTGCAGAAACTACTGTGTGTTTG